AACAAGGTTTAAGTATAATTCACTTTACACATTTATTTATGTTTGTTCACAGTGCTAGACAGGCCAATAAAAAAAAAAACAACAATTGTACTTTGTGTATGTTTCAGGCTTGACCTATGTTGCAGCCAAAAGCCCCCCGAGCCCAATGCGTCGCCCACAGCCTGGCCAACCATTCCATCCACCAGCCCAGCCCACAAACATAGGCCACTCCTTTTCTTATGGAACAGCCCCACACCACCCTAGTGCCATTATTGGTCCAGGGACCTCACCACCAGTATTTGGAGTCAGTACAAACTCAAACATGCAGGTGAGAACATCTATGATATACATGATCAGTCAAGTAGAACAAGAAAAATGTCCATTACTTTCTGTATCTTCATAAACTTATGCACAAATGTGGGATGTAATTATCTTTTCTTTTGTAGGAATGTCTGTAGATTGAAAAGAGTACATGTGTTATACAATAAGTTGCTATTTTATTTGTTACAACTACAGAGTTGTAGAATCTACAGAGTTGTACAATTAGCTATTGTTTAATAACAAGTTGTACTTTTTCTTTATTATTTGTTTCAGAAACCAAGAGTCGGTGGTGAAAAATTTGCTAAGCCCAGTGGTTTTCATGCAGACAAGACCTGAATCTTCTGTTGGCACTGTTGATCCTTCTGTGATGGTTTATTACCTTTCCCTTGAAATTGAGATCTATATTCTTTACACAAAATGTGTGTGTGTTTGTATCCTTGAGTTAAGGATTCAACCTCCCATATCTTTCTGAATGAAACTAGTTTCTAATGCTTTTTGTTTAGATTGTCTGTATTATATTTGCACAGTGCCTACGGGGATATTGTCAGATGTTTTCTTTTTGATACGTTTTTCCTGTTTTTCTCTTTGAAAGTCAATTGTGCCATCATTTGACTCAAACACTCCATTTGTGTTAAAGTAAAGCTTTTGATGATTTGTCAGATGCAGTGTAGTGTCTTTATTATTTTTTTATTTTTTTTAGTGTCTACTGTAGTGCAATTACAAATGATGCTAATTATGACCATTGAATTGGCATTTCCCCTTCCCAGTTTTTATGTTCGTATTATTTTCAGTTTCATTTGAGTTTTGTATAGTCTATTAGTTTTAGAACCTGTATGAGAGATAAACTTTAAAAAAGTGTAAAAATGTACCAAAGTTTGTTATAGTGGTGATCATTTCATTCATGGTTTTTATAACTAATTTACTTGATACATTTCATTAAATACCAGTGATATATATGTATACCTTGGGTACTGTCCAAAAACTAAGTATCATGTTGCTGTCAGTGAGTACCCTGATTGTTGCTGTCTCTGCTTCATTTTAACCTCATACATCTGAATAGCAAGCTTAATTGTGCTTCTCTAGTTTACATAGCTTCAATTGTAAAAGAATCTTATTAGATCAGACTCTTAAGTATTCTCATGTGTGTTATGTAAATATTTGGTCAGATAGAAGTGGTTAAAGGAGGCAATCATAATGAGGAGATTGAAATGGGCAGTGCATTTGACTTATTAGTTTCTTGTGTTATTGTTTGCATTTAACTTTTTCTTTTTTTTTTTTCTTTTTTTTTTTATATTAAGTTAATCATTATGTTCATTAAGTGTCCTCTAAAACTAAATTCCTGTTCAGATAGAACAAATTTTAGTACCAGCATTTATGTTTAGCATTTTCTCGTAGATTTTAAGTTGCTTTTTTTTCTTCTCTCTCCTGTCTACTTAACAAATATAAAGCTGATAAGGTCTACTAAAAATGCATTCAAATATCAGTGGTAGACACTTTAATGTGAAAAAAAGCACATTTTTGGTTAGTTCCATTATTTAAAATATTGATAGATAGTTTAATACAGAATTTAAAAATAAATGCTACTTCAAAGTACTAAACATAAATTATATTATGACACTGTAATTTTTCTTTAGTATCAAGTAAAAAATACCTCAGAATGAAGCTAAGTGCATATCATATACTTCTGCCATCTGATTGGCTGTTCTGCCCCATCCGTCCAATGAAAATGTATGGTGGTGGTGGTGTTTTTTTTTTTTGCAAAACAATTAAGTAGTATAGTGGTAATAGTAATTTTTTGAAAGTTCTAAGGAGGCTTAGTGAGTGTTGGAAAGTTCTAAGTTGGTTTAGTGATTTTTAGCTACATAATTTTAACCTTAGACATTATTTAAGTGGAATTTAACAAAATGTAAGAATAAATATTTTACATGTAATAGAATAGAATTTAGGAATTTACTTGCAAATCTTACAAAAAAAGTCATGATTTTTCCCAGACTTCCTAGTATACAAATGAAAAATAATGGTATGTTTGTATTAAATGTGTACATTGCATAATAAATGATTTCTAGTAAAAAAAATGAGCATCAATAATATATAGTAATATATTTTTCAAGTGGACTCCTCAATTGTATTAGCAGGCATATACATTTCTGTCATGTTTACTTTTTAGCACATTTTGGAGGGATTTTATTTAGCTGTTTGACTTTTGTCAGATATGCTTGCAATTTAATTGAACTTGATTACACCTTAATTTTAAAATACGAGTTGCATTATAAATAGCAACATTCCAAATTAAAAAGAAAAAAATAGGAAATATAGAGACTGTGGTGTTGGTTCAATATTTTACTGCCTATTTTATTTACAATATGCTTGTTCATTCAGTTATTGCCAAGACAGAAATAAACTGTATAGTGTAGGTCAGCAACTCATTATAGTCATCTTACATAAAGCTTTAGGTGTTGTCTTTGTTGGTACGAAACAAGAACGTTTTTTTTAAATTTGTGTTTCAGTAAATATTTATAACTTTTTTGATGCTAAATAAATTTTAAAAATGTTTCTTCTGTGTGTGTGTATAATTATTTTTGTCTGATAAAATTAATTACATTTTGATGGTTTACATTTGACTATATTTATTCTAAAACAAAATGTTGCCACAAAAGTTTTATCTTAGATAAACTGAATTTTAGCAGATCTGACATCTCTTTCATGTCTTGAAGTTAATCATTTTGACTCCCAGTGGAGCATAGAACTGCAACTGTACTATGCCTTCTGTCTCTGATCTTCCTTTTTTTTTTTTTTTTTTTTGGTTTCCCATCCTTTCGTTGGGTTCCTTGCTCTTCACACCAGATATCCATTTCAGCCCCATTTGCTTCTTTTGATTTCTTGCTCTATTAGTGTTTTCTGGACTGTCTCCCGTTAAGATTATGGGCAAAGTTTTATATATACAAACTTTTAATTACTGGTAACTAATTAAATTAATTAAGGTCAGAGTTTAGTTTGAAAAAAAAACAAACTTAAAATCAAAGTTTAGTTAAGTTACAAACTAAACAGTTCTAGTAAAAAATGTTAAACTTTTTCAACATTTGGAAGTAGTAGCAGTTGAATCGCACATCCCTGTTTTCTGATCATGTGATATCAATGACTTTAGAAGTTATGGAGCTAATATCTGCACTTGAATATAGCTGCATTAGGAAATTTGCTCAACAAATTTGGTAAATTGCTATAGTAAAGCTTTTCTGAAATAAATATGATGTATTATAAATCAAAGAGTAAAACAATGTCCCATGCAGCATTCACTGGGTTTTAGCAACTACTGATATTTGGAGTGCTCATAAAAGTGCATCCATAGATATGGATCTAATCACAATTAAGTTAGTGTCTTCAGCTTTGACATGCAGAAGATTTAAAACAAACATACTGGAAATAAAATTGGCCAAAAACTAAACCTTTTTTTTTTTTAAGAATTAAAAATCTTTTCTAATATGACAAAACATGCAGTGTGAAGAAAATCTTTTCTAATATAACAAAAAATGCAGTGTGAAGAGCAAGGACAAATATTGCAAAGCAGGCTCTGGTAGTGGAACCCACAAGGGAAGAGAAAAGCTGTGAAATCAAAAAGGAAGAGCATTAAGAAAAGAAGCAGGATGGACAGAAACAGAAGGCAAAGTACAGTTGCAGTCCTATACTCCACTGGGAGTCAAAAGGATTAATGTCAAGACATGAAAGAAAAAATATCAGATCTGCTGAAATTCAGTTTATCTAAGATAACACTTATGTGGCAACATTTTGTTTTAGAATAAATATAGTCGCTGGAATGCAGTGAGCAAAGTCCAAAACAGAATGATGTTATTGATGAGATTGCTGGCAAAACATTCCTATTGGCCCAGTGAATATTATGATCCAGAGAAAATAGTTGAGATTGGTTTGGATAATGCGATTAATTTATTGTCAGCTAGCTCTAGAGCAAAAACAAAATGACAGAACCTTAAATGTAGTTTTTAAATGGCTACCTCTTAACAATAAAACAAGTAGCTCAACATTGACATATTGGTACCTTACTATTATGAGGGTTCAAAGTAAAGACTTAAGAACAAGTGATCCATTCTATTTTTTTGTTGCATATGTGCAAATTATTGATACAATTTTCATTCTTTTCTAACCTCTTTGAGGAAAACAAATAATAGTGGCAATGTCTTCGATTCGGAAGATTAAAGTAAGTGCAGTGTTCCACATGACTACGCAAACCAAGTTGCAACCTTCATATTTTTCCCCATCTTGTGCAGACATATTCATAGCCATTGTAAAAAAAACAACAAATTTTAATGTTTAGTTTAACTGTTTTTATAAAGCGGTGATAAACATTTAGTTAAACTTTATTTTTAATCTTAGTTTAATTAAAAAATTTAGCTTAGTTACCATCACTAGAGGCCATTTGTGTATTAAAAACTAACCCAATGAATAAATCCTGAATAAAAATATTCTAGGAGCCTATCACTGTCAGGTGTTCTCTATACAAATAAAAGTAAGTGTCTGTTGTGTCCCTTGAGCTCATCAATATGCTATGGATGTCCCATTTAGGACAACTTTTAAAAAATGCACATATTCTCCATACTGTCCATATTGGCATTCACAAAAACATCAATATTTGTTTTGTTGTGATTATCTTTCTCATTATGCTTTGTAAATAGAAACCACACAGAACATTTGCAAGAAGTTCAATTTTATTTGAACACATCTTAATGCTTAAGGTAAAAAGAAAATTTGCTGAATTACGACATTAATGTGAATAAATTGTACACTAACTAAATACATTGCTGAGTCACAACATAGTCCACAATTAATGTCTAAGAGAAGATCTAACAGTATTAAATATATTTGCAACTAACCATTAGAAATGAATATCATCATTATTGCACAAAGGATTTCATAACATTCTCCAGTAAAGTTATAAATGTGAAAAAAATATTTCTAAAAAAAAAAAAAAAAAAAAAAATAATGACATGTCCTATTGTAAAAGTTTGGATTCACAAATTATAAAGTGACATGTCCTATTGTAAAAATTGACTGATGAGGCTATGCTTCTTGAGAAAGGATTACAGCCTACTACTTGCCCCAATGAAAGTTGACTCATGTTCCCCTTAGAAGAAATTCTGATGCAAATACCTTGATCACTAGAGGGAAAACCCAAAAGAAAAAGGACTGTGTGTGTGTTGGGGGGGGGGGGGGGAATTGCAAAGAATGTTCAAACCAATCAAATATACATTTTAAATCAAATAAGTTTGAGTATTAGTCTCAAATTGTGTGAAGCCAGTAGTTATCATTCTAAAAAAAGCAATAAGCAGCATAGACAACAAAAAGAATTGGTCTCTATGACTATAAGTTGTGAATGTTTCAACATGTAAAAAAAAAAAAAGCAGCCACATATTAAAATGTCAGCTGGCCAGCCAAGTAAGAAAACTGTATATGGCTATTATTTTCTGACTTATGGAATCAACAAACTGGACTCGATGATTTGCTAAACTGAGTTGACTAACAGTTGTCTAGCTTAACTCAAAGTAAATAAAAACAGTGTAACGGAAATGAACAAGATTAAAGCAGATGTTAAATTGTTCAGATTTTCATAACAAAATGTTCAAAACTTTTTGACTGACAAAATAGAGCAATAAATACATAACCAGGTAAATAATTTCACATGTTGTTTAAAAAACAAATTTAGTTCTCAATTTTGTATTGACATGCAGAAAAAAAATACTTATGTTGGCAATTAGAACGAGTTCTTCTAGTTACTGTGGTCAACAATGTCTTTCATATACAATAAATGTTAGAAGTACCGGTACACAGTAAAATGTAGATAATGGGTCACATTCAAGATAAATAAAAAACATTTTGTTTTTGAAAAATCTGTGTGTCATTTGATTAAATAAGATGTAATTTTTCATTGAATGAGCTTTTCATTAAATAAAAACAAACATAATTTCAAAAAGATAACAGAAACAATGAATGACTAATTAAAGTAGTCTATGATTCAGTTCCGCAATGAACACAAAAGCCATGAGTAAAAAAGATCACATTCATATAAACAAGGGAAAGAATACAGAAAAACTATTTTAAAAAATATGAAATAGTTATTCAGTAAAAAGTCTGTGGCTTAATTGTAGACAATAATTTATAAATAGAGTCAAAGTATTTACAAAGAAAATGTGTACAAGGAAAGTAGCAGAGGCATTGCAACCAAAAAGAATTGAGGTGTTTTCATATTTATAGAGCAAAAGTACAAGTTACAAATGTAGAAAGGATTTCTAATTCATTGCAAATGAGTGGCCCCCTCAGTGTATCATTACATTGTACATGTATTCAAAGATTTCCTTGTATTTAAACATGACACAAAAGTTAGCACCTAATCAAGCCAAGATAAGACATGGAGCTCATGCAGTTATATAGACAATACAAAGATCTACAATAATACAAGAACAAGTTATTGTTAAAGCTGAACAAAGTGGTATTTGTTTTTGACATGCTGAGCAGTGTATTATACTACTGAATCGTAACTGTGTTATGTGATATACCAGTTTGGTTAATATTGATTTTACTCACTTATGATGATACAATCTTAATGTGGCAAAAATTATAACTAAAAACAAAAGATGTTTAGAGGAAAAAGGTAAGCACAAAATGTAAACAAATAATTAATTCATTTGAACTCATGTAAAAAGAACAATGGATTTTCTTATGTCATTATATACATAGTTAAATTATCTTAACATAGTTCCCTTTAATGGCTGCCCAGTTATTTTTTAGTATGCCAAAAAATAAGTTCTCATTTAGTTCAGTATTATATTAATTACAAAATATGAGAAGTTGGGATAAAACAAATTAGTAAAAAAAAATGAGAGCACATCTGTTGTGTATAAAAATATCAAATAGCTGATCATTAACATCTGTATATTCCATAACTCAAAGTCAACTTCAGTTAAAAGCTAATTCAAAAGCTTTAGTCAAAATCCACTCAAAAGTTATGTCAGTCAATTAACCAACTTTAAATAAAAAAAAGTCATCAGCTTCAGTCAAAAGTCAGCCCAGTTCCAGCCCAGTCAAGTTCCCAGCTTAACTAAAAATTAGCTCAGTAGCTTCAGAAAAAACCAATGCACCATCTTCTAACCAACATCAACTTCTCACCGTCTCTAAAATCCTATCAGTTAATGATGGAATGACTATATGATTGTATAAACAATGGTGCAATTCAACTACTTAGCAACATGTCAACATACAAGCTCTATAGAAATTGGTGTAAGTTAGATATTCTGAAGACAAAACTTATCGCATATATCCTTAAGATCAAATTATTTAATTAGCGAGCTAATTTTGTTAATAAATAACCTTAATAAAAAAAGTGACTTGGGTAACATTGTAAAAATATTAATCCAACAACAAAGTTGACTCAATAAACAACAAATGAATTATCAGTATTAGGCTTATAATTCTTTATATCCAATCATAGCAATAAAGTAGTTCAGACCAGTTTCTAGCCACAGGGAATAATAAACTGTTTTATTGTTGTAGGCATGCAATCAGTCTGATTTTTAACAATTTTACTATGCTTGCCATATCTTGGAATGATTTTTGTTTACAATATTGAAAGATTTCAAGACGTTAAAATAAGATCTTCAAATCTAGTGTTAATATTTTGTTGACAAAGTACTTTTTGTTGTAAAATAAGAAAGTTTTATTTGCTCTGATACTTAATGCTTGTGGTTGGACATAAACATTCTTGACCTATTCAAAAAATTGACTGGAATAGATTTACTGCTATCTTCACAATTTATGTTCAAATGAAGCCCTCCATACACTAGCAGCTGAAGAGCTTCATTAAATAAAATAAATAGGAACAACAATACTGTCTGTTCTAAATAAAAATTGAACTAATTCTGGCTTATTAAAAAAGACAAAACCAGAAAATTATCTATTATTTCATAAAAAAAACAAAAATATTTTCAAAAGACTACCAACAATTGGCTTTTCATTGTCAAATTTGACATTAGTGTTAGTAAATCACATCTCAAGATTAACCTTAATATCTAACCAATGCTAGATTCTATATAAAACAATTAATATAAAATATCTTCTTATGTTCTGAAGTTGTTGTCCACACGAAACCAAACCCTGTATTCCTTGACCTTGCGTAAGAAGTAGTAGGATAACAGGATTCCGAAAATCTGAAGGTGGCAAGTAAAAAAAAAATGTTAATTTAACTATATTTTTGTATAATCATATTTATATCATATAATATCATGATTTTTTAATGCAGGTGCTATGTCCACCAAGGATTTTGTATGTAACAGAAACAAGAATTAATAAATTATGTAATTGGAGTATTGAACCTATTTAATGGACATAGAGATTTAGCTTGACAAAATTCTAAAGTTCCCTTCAGTACTATATTATTATAGTTATTTGAGAGTTTCCTCCGTTTGATTTATATGCACAAGACACAGTGCGGAAGCACCTAACGGAATACATGCTATCAAAAAAGATGCATTGAAAGCATTAAGGTAATGTTTACACAAGCTTAGGGTGTAGAGTTTTCACAAAATAAAATACCAACATACTATCATTTACTTTAGAGCAGATTCAACTATTCAACAATTAGCAAAGATTAATACAATTTTTTTTTAAACAATCCAAATTTACAAATGCCATACAGAGCCTTTCATTGAACTAAATCATCTTCCTTTGTCAGACTTTAAGTAAAACATTAAGTTTTGTTATACCTGTGGAATTGCAAAGCCAAGTGCTATAGCACCAACAAGATCCAAATGCTCCATTAGCCATTGAATCAGTGCATCAGTGCAGCCTTCTGTATTGATCATATCGTACTGCTAAATTGTAGTGCAACACATAAAATAGAATATTAAGAAAAATTTATAAAAAGGAAATCATAGAATAAAAAAAAAAAAAAAAAATTAATTTGTGAGACTTTTCCGACCAATGTATACAAAATAACAAGGAAGAGAAGCAGTAAAAGAAGATAAAGATTACTTGACCTCTAAATCAACATAGATAGATATTTTTTATAAATATTTTTCTCACCGTAGCATTTAGTGCCACATCATAGCCACATCCTTCTGGCACAAATACACCCTGAAGATAAACAATATCTTTACATAAAAATACAAAACAAAAATCCAATGTGAAAAGAATATTTTTGTATATTATATGCTTATCAAAGCAGCCATTATTTGCAGCAACTCAGTCATCACTGGCTGTACATTGAGTTGCATTAGTACATACATTTCAAATAATATAAAAAGCAAATACAGCCCATGTCCAGGACACTGAGAGTTACTCACTGATGAAATAGTAAAAGGGATATCCAAAGATTAAACTTTGTAGGGTTTTAAAAATAAACAATAGGAACAAACATTAACAACTTTGTAGGGTTTAAAAAATGGATGCTTTAACCCAAAGATTAAATTTTGTAGGGTTTTAAAAATGAACAATAGGAACATTAACAACTTTGTAGGGTTTCAAAAATGGATGCTTTAATCCAAAGATTAAATTTTGTAGGGTTTCAAAAATAGATAATAGGAAAAATAACCATTAACAATGTCATAAATATAGTTCCTTATTAGCCAAATACACCACTCAATATTTTTTCTCCATCTGATATATGACATGGTTTCCGAAATAACAGTAATTAGAATGTAATAAAAAAGAAAAGGCTTTAGAAGCAGTAGCTGAACGATTGTTATAGAATGAAAGGAAAATAAAAAAAGGTATTTTCATCACAAAATTGTTTAAATGTGATTCTTGTAACATATTAACAAAGCTCGACATTTAGACTCACCTCTCGTTGGATGCAGCAAGATTTGGGCACGCCACAAGCCTGTGGTGTGCCAGAAGAACACTTAAACTCTTCATTTTCTTTTTGGTAGTCAGCATAGGAGCTGAACCCACAACATTTGTACTGAAATTGTACAGACAATGTAGTGGTTAATTCACTTGTTAAACAAAAATACTGAGTGATATTTATAGATTAGTAATTGCCTTACTCTAGTTTGCAACCAATCCACAGCCACTTGAATGTCTTTGTCCTTGGTGTAACCTTTAATAGCAAACTGAAAGTGGGAGCTCACCAAGTAGGGAAGCTGTGACAGAGAATTGAGTTAAAAGCAACAATTAACATAATTTAAGTTAAAAGTCCTAAACCATGGTGCTATAATGGCACAA